TATAAAATCTTTTCTCTGGCAAACATTGGAGCCTGTGTGGTTGTCTTATGGGTTAATTGCTAATTTATCTTTCTTGCTATCATAGCCCCCAAGAAGGGAGAGAAATCTGCCTCCATGTGAATGTATTTAGCAGCAATGTTCCACTGTCTTAGTTTTCTTTTTAAATTAGGAGAGAATTCCTTCAAGATTGTAAGTTTAAAATATTCAGTATAGCAGCAGCTGGCATACCTTTAACTTAAGGTAATATTGCTGATTAAGATGGCTACAGACAGCAGAGATTTTAGAGAAAGGAACTTTCAACAGTATTCTTCAGTTATTGGTTGTTATTTTGTTCTTAGGTTTATTTGCATTATTTTAAGAAGAACTATCATGAATGCTCTGGTTATGCACATATTTCTGCTTATTTACTTAAATATTTTCTAGGAATGCAAAAGTAGGTCAAAAAGTGTGTGCAATTGTAAAGCTTTCAATATACATCACTTAATTGCTTTTATGATAGATTATACTAATTCACAATCCCACCACAGTGCTGAGAATGTCTCTTTTATTATACCTTCTCCAAAATTAGGCATTGTAAGGCTTGTTGATAGGAAAACAAAAACAACAACAATGTCTTACTGTGTTAATTGGCATGTCTTAAAGAAGGTCACCTATTGAGGTTGGACAGTTTTCATATTTCATCATGTGTTTGTTATGTAATAATTGCTTAATATTATTTGCACATGTTTTCCATTAAGATTTTAGTATTTTGGTAACTTTTATGTTGACTTTTGTTGTAAACGGGACAATTCGTTTTTAGGGTTTGTTTTTTTCCTTTTTAAGTTTTTTAGTATTTTGTAATTTTAGATTATGTTGTCAGCTTTATATTGTTTTATTTGTTCAGTTAGGTTTATACATAAAATGTGTTTTCTGATCCAGATAATTCATACACACACACACACACACACACACACACACACACTAGAGGCCTGGCACACAAAATTCGTGTTCGGTAAGGTCCCTCGGCCTGGCCTGCGATCAGAGCCATGTTCCCTGGTTCCCCGTTCGCCATTGGGCGATCGGAGCCTGTCGCCCGGGCAAAGCATATTGCAGAATTTACTTTCTTTTCAAGGCTCAATATTCTTTGTGTATATATACCACATTCTGCTTACCCATTCATTCATCGATGGACACTTGGATTGCTTCCATGTTTTAACTGTTGTGAATATTGTTGCTGTGAACATTGCTATACAAATATCTCTTTAAGATCCTGCTTTCAATACTTTTGGGTAAATATTCAGAAGTAGAATTGCTCAATGCTATGGTATTCTATTTTTAATTTTTTGAGGAGCTGCCATACTGTTTTCCACAGTGGTTGTACCATTTTATATTCCCCATGGTGCACAGGGGTTCCATTTTCTTCACATTGTTGTTTTTTGTTTTGTGTGTGTGTGTGTGTTTATAGTTGCCATTTTAATGGGTACAATTCATTGTAGTTTTGACTGACATTTCCCTAATGACTTGTGATGTTGAGCATCTTCTTTATGTCCTAGTTGGCTATTTGTGTATCTTTGGAGAAATGTCTATTCAAGTTCTTTGCCCATTTTTGAATCAAGTTGTTTGGGTTTTTTTTTGGTGTTTTTTAAAAAAATACATTTTATTAATTTTTTACAGAGAGGAAGGGAGAGGAATAGAGAGTTAGAAACATCAATGAGAGAGAAACATCAATCAGCTGCCTCCTGCACACCCTCTACTGGGGATGTGCCCACAACCAAGGTACATGCCCTTGACCGGAATTGAACCTGGGACCCTTCAGCCCACAGGCCGACGCTTTATCCACTGAGCCGACCGCTTAGGGCAAGTTGTTTGGTTTTGTTTTTTGAGATTCAAGAGTTCTCTATGGTATATTCTGGATATTAATCCCTTGTCAGATGTATAATTTATAGATATTTTCTCCTATTCTGTGGGTTGCCTTTTTGCTCTGTTGATAGTATCTTGATGCACAAAAAATTTTTTTAGTCCTGAACAAGGATCGAACCCACAACCTGAATATGTGCCCCAGACGGGAGTCGAACCCATGAGTCTTCAGAGCACAACACAGTGCTCTAACCAACTGAGCCACATCGGCCATGGAGATGCACAAAATTTTTTAATTTTTATAAAGTCCAATGTATATTTTTTCTGTGCCTTTAATATCATATCCAAGAAATCATTGCCAAACCAATCTTATGAACCTTTTGTTCTATATTTTCTTTTGTTACTGTTTTAGGTCTTCCTTAATGTTTTTATGTCCTTGGTCCGTTTTGAGTTAATTTCTGTATGATATTAGATAAGGTTCTAGCTTTATTCTTTTGCATGTGGATATCCATTTGTTGAAAAGATTATCCCTTTCTTATTGAATGGTATTGGCACCCTTGTTAAAAATCACTTGTATTAATAACTGTAGTATAGACACCAGTTTAAAATTTTTTCTCCATATGCGTATTTTAAGTTGCTGTGGATCCTGGAATACTTTTTATGAATACAGTGTTCACTGTCCTGACCTTAAAGTATTACTTCCCTAAAACCTCTCATCCCAATTTACTACTGTCCTTACCTTCTTAAATTTTCTTAACTTTTTTAGATGAATAAAATTATTTTAACAAAATTATGTTTTATATGATGACTAGAGGCCCAGTGCATGAATTCATGCACCAGTGGGGCCCCTCGGCCTGGCCTGCAGGATCAGGGTGAAACAGGCTGCCGAGGGACCCCACCAGTGCATGATCGGGGCAAGGTAGAGACGCGGGAGGTTGGCCAGCTAGGAAGGGACCACGGGAGGGCTCCAGGGCGTGTCTGGCCATCTCACTCAGTCCCAATCGGCTGGACCCCAGCAGCAAGCTAACCTACTTGTTGGAGTGTCTGCCCCCTGGTGGCCAGTGCACGTCATAGCGAGCAGTTGAGCAGCTTTAGCATATCATTAGCATATTATGCTTTGATTGGTTGAACGGACGACCAGACACTTAACATATTAGGCTTTTATTATATAGGATGATCTCAGCAAATGTTTTGGCATGGTAGCACTTTAACTTACATTAAGTTCTCATTCTGAGATTCATATATATTTGAAATGCAAGCGATAAAAGCTGTATTGGGTGAGAATAGATGAAGAACTCAGTTTTTAAGTTATTATGTGGCATTTATTATTTAAAATTTTAAGGGATTTGATTTTTCTTACCACATTGTACATATGGAAACAGGTGATTTTTGTATTATTCTTGTATTTAGAGAAAACTTATTGTAGGGCCTTTTATTCTTAACTAGAAGCCCAGTGCCACGAGATTCCCTAGCCCAGCCTGCGCCCTCTTGCAGTCCGGAACCCTCACGCGCTCTTTGCCGCCGACCTGCAGCAGAGATGGGATAGGCTCCTGCAACCAGTCATTCTGCCGTTCAGTCAATTTGCATATTACACTTTTATTATATAGGATGCTTCAATAAATATTAATGAGCTTTTAAACAAAACAAATCACAGAATTTAGCATAGAAATAGACAAGAAGCACAAAGTATACATAGACCTATAAGTGTGAAATGTAATGAGTAAAGCAGTTGTTTAATTTTAGTGAGCAAACCTGTTAGAGCAAGATAGAGTGTTGACATAATTTGGAAAGTATCATGTTTTTTATATAGTTTGTAATAGTTAGATGTCAAGGAAAGGGAACTTTAAGCAAAACTGCACCTAACAATTATAAGTCACATTTAATTTTAATTTCCCAGACTGCCCAGTATTAAGGGGGAAAAAAGTTTTCTTTGTTCGGAATTACATTTATAAGATTGTAGTCATCTTGTAGGTAAAATTTACACAATGCAGTACTATGCAGCTGTAAAAAAGGAGGACCTCTTACCCTTTGAGATAGCATGGAAGGACCGGGAGAGTATTATGCTAAGGGAAATAAGCCAGAGGAAGACAAGAATCACACGATCTCATTCATATGTGGAATCTAATGAACAGAATAAACTGATGAACAAAATAGATCCTAAGACATAGAAGCATGGAACAGACTGAAGAATTTCACAGGGAAGGGGAGGGGAGGGAAGAGATTAACCAAAGAATTTATATGCATACATGCATAACCCGTGGACACAACAATAGTTCTGGGGGAGAGGGGGTAGAGAGAGTCAATGGGGGGAAAAGGGGAACATCTATAATACTTTCAACAATAAAAATAAATTTTAAAAAATTTCTATGTGCAGAATTATAGCTATAAGATTGTAGTCATCTTGAGGGTAAGGACTATATATAAATTACTTTGTGCCACAGAATGTTATAGTAAAAGAGGTTTGTTTTTGATGAAGATAGGATCCTTAGGGAGAAACAGTACCTTCCATAGCCTGTAATACTAAGATTAATATTTGTTTTAAAGGTAGTGGTCAGGATTTGAAAGTATTTTCTTGTTAGCTACACCAGGCTGCATTTGTTCACACCTGGGGTTTACTGTGTTAAATTTGTTGTTGTATGGGAGGAGGGGAACAACTTCATCAGGTGAAGTATATAGTATGTTGTTCACAGCTCTTTCAACTAGGGATTAGAAGTCTTTTGTCCCCCTCCCCCCCCCCCCCACTATATCTACTATTTTCAAAGAAATCCCATAGCCCTAATCTACATGCTGAAAATCAAGCTCAGAGAATTTGCTCTTCACATTGATCCTTCCACTAATCATGCTAGTCTGACAGCATTTTGCATTCACATTGGTGAGAAACATGACTAATTGGTGCATTACAGTTATTTTGGAGTGGAGATAGATTAGCATTGCTGAAAGATTTAAGTTTTATGTCCATTAGACATTTGCCTTAGTACTAAGTTTGATCTGTTTTCAACAGGTTTGATATCCCAAACTTGTTTTGATTATTTGTGTTGTACCTGAATAAAAGGATACTTGACATATTTTCCCCAAACTCTTAAAACCAATCAATTTGTAACTTTCCTTTTAACCTTTTAAACTCATAAAGTCTGTGTGTTTATAATTGATACGCTTGTTTCTAGGGGCCACCTACAGATGCTCCTGCAGTGGACACAGCAGAACAAGTCTATATCTCTTCCCTGGCACTGTTAAAAGTAAGTGCTGAATGGAGTAATTTGCTTTAAGAGAGCTCTGTATCTTTTACTTTGGAATACTTGTCATCTTAATGCTCTCAGACAAACTATTGTTTTAGCTACATCAATAAAATAGAGTGTTTTATTTCTACTGAAACTAAATTAGGTTCTTAATTTAAAAAGAATGAAGATCTCAAAGCTTTGTGTCCACATCTCTTTCTCTTACAGATGTTAAAACATGGTCGTGCTGGAGTTCCAATGGAAGTTATGGGTCTGATGCTTGGAGAATTTGTTGACGATTACACCGTCAGAGTGATTGATGTGTTTGCTATGCCACAGTCAGGAACAGTGAGTACTTTTATGGTTGCCTGCTGCAAGTAAATGTGTTTCTTTTCTCTTTACTTTTCCTATGCAAAATAATATTCATCATATTATATTTTCCTGATAGGAAAAATTCATCATAAGATTGAAAATTCATCATAAGATTTTCCTATGCCAAATAACATTCATCGTATTCTATTTTCTCTTCCTGATGGGAAAAATTCATAAGATTAAAATTCATCATAAATTAATAGTTTGTTGAATTAAATGATTGTATTGAATTAAATGATTTATATTTTAAGTGCATCCGTAAACTGAATGATGCTAACATTAAATCCCTTTACTCATACCTTCAGCTTAAACTAGCATAGCATACTGGGTTTATTATAAATTAGTCACTCTCAAATAGTAGGATATCAGTTTGATTAGTTTGAACACTTGTTTCAAAAGATTTCAGACTCTTAATTAGATTTTCACTTACATACATTATCTAGTCCTCATGTTTTGTTTCCATTGTTTTTGAAATATGACCCTTTTTTAAATGTTTCATATATGGTGATAAATGACTCTTAAACTTTTCCTATTCAAAATGTTAAGTTAAAAAACAATTTATGGTAAACTTTGTTCTTTTTGCCTATCATGGTAATTTGTTTATGTAAGAAACAGAATTCATACAGATTTGAAAGTCATCTACTGTTTAGAATTTTTACTCTCTCTGGAACAATTTTTTTGTTTTGTTTTTTATTTTGTTTAGTGCATTGGACTTGTGTAGATAGGTGTGTATTTTAACTTAAAGAAATTGGCCAAAAGACAATAACTATTCTACCTACCTTCCAAAAAAACAACATACACATCCTTCTCATCTGTTTGCCTACAAAAATATAATATGTGTATTTTTTATGATGGATGTTTTTCTTATTGGACCTTATAAAATATCCAGGTTAAAGAAATTGTTTTCATAAAGCTGTTTGCTCTGTTTGAGGCTCTTTACTGTAAGTATGTTTTGATAAAATAGATGCTAGAGAAAAACAATTTTCATTTTTAAATATTGCAATATGTGTGTGTGTGTTTAATAAGTATTTTAAATGGAGTAGTTGCTACAGAATGCAGTTTATTTGTAAACAAAGCAAAATATAGAAAAACATGAAATGAGGCAAACTAATTTGGATCTGCCGATTTTCCATTATATTTATTTTGTACATTGGACATAGAGAAATACACTACATATTAACTAAAGATTTAGATTTAAATATTAGACTATTATTTATATCTATCTTTTCATGTCAGAATATATGAAACACAAAATTAACTGTTTTTATCTGTAACGTGATTCTTATATGCTTATTCATTATAAAGGGATCTTAAGCTTTAATATTCTGTATAAGTGTTTGTTTGGCAATATAAAATAGAAGATTTTGATTCCCATGTGTAATCTGTGCTGAATTTGAAAGTTTTTCTTCTGGTCTAAGAGTTAGCTAACTTCTGTAAAGACATGTGTCTCTGCCTCCTATTCGTGTGCGTGTGCGTGTGTGTGTGTGTGTGTGTGTGTGTGTGTGTGGGTGTGTGTTTCTTGTGTTTTGTTTTTTTAACAATCTTTTAAAAATGTAAAAAAAAAAACCCTTTTTTATTCTGTAGGTAGTAGCAGATTGGATACCCCTGTTCTTGAGTATGCACTCTCAATTAGATTCAAAATACTGTTTGGTTGGAAGGAAGTGTTTATGTTAACTGGTTTGTTTAAGTAGATCAGACTTAAATTCCTGAAGTTAGAAGAAAGCCTTTTGCGAGCTACAATAGCAATGATCTATCACTAAAGAGATGATATGAATGCCTGTGATAGTTTAGGTTATGAAATTTTCTTTTGGTTGAAAAAGCAATATAATACAGCTTTTTAAAGACTTGGTTATAGATTGTCTCTAGTGGGAAATTTTTATGTGAATGCTTTTATACTTTAGGTAATATTCAAAAGTGTATTAATTCCCTCCAACTACCTAATCTACCAAGTTGTCCTAATTGAAGCACTAAACTTCCTCTTTTTCCAACCCCAAAAACAACTCTGTGAAATGAATAAATTACTTTCTTTGTTCAAAGTGTTTACATTGCTGGGAAAATAATTGAAACTTTATTATTATAATAGCTGAATAATTGTAGAACTTTGAATGCGATGCTTAAAAGTTAACAAAGGATGGCAGCATTAGGAAGTATGCTTTCTAACAGGTCTCACCAAAAAATAGTTAATTCAATTATTTGGTGTTTCTCACACACACACACAATCAGAGAGAGAGGGAGAGAGAGAGGGAGGGAGGGAACGCCATGGCCATAAACTTTTAAAGGAACCTGAAAAAGATGGTCTCTACTATAATTGAAAATTACCTTAATTAAGTCTTAACTAAGAAATTTGGTAGTTGGTGATTTTAGGAGCTTTATTGATGTAAGATTTATAAATGAATGAGCAGGTATCAAATATGGGTTTCAAAACTTATAAAATTATTTTGATATCTCAAAATAATATACCTAGGTTTTCTTGGGTAGCTTTTTGTTAATTTACATTGTAATTTGTGGGGTTTTTTCCCCTCCTGTAATTATAAAAGCTATTTATTTTTCTTCCTTTTTAAACCAGGGTGTTAGTGTGGAGGCAGTTGATCCAGTGTTCCAAGCCAAAATGCTGGATATGCTGAAGCAGACAGGAAGGTAAGTATTTTAAATGATCATATAAAGGAATAATGGCAAATATTTTCAGAAACATATCTCAAAATTTTGGATGTTTATGAATATCATTCCTGGGGGCGGGGGGAATTACATGCAGTTAATGTAAAAGCATCACTGTCAGTGCTAGGCACCACCCATCTAGTTTCTCATTCATCTAGAATCAAAGAAATTTGCCAATCAGAAAACTGCTTCATGATAAAATTCTCAACCATCACATAGTAAGCTTGTGCTGTGGCTTCCCTCTGGTTAGCATATGGAGTTACTCTCTAGTTACTGATAATTGAAAGAGAGTTTATGTTCCATTGTATTTGAGAGTTGCAACCAAATAATATTCTGAATATTTAATTATATTTGTAGGCATATGAGTTTTAAAGACAGGGCAAATAGAATCTAAATATTCTTCGAGTTATTCCCCCCCCCCCCCCCCCGGCTCCCCCCTTCCCCCGCCCCAGATTAAACCTCTCAATAGTTGTCATTCTCTTGCTCAAATTCTTCTACTGTGTGGAGAAAACTTCAAAATTAATGTTAGCAAAAGGCTCAGCAGCTGAGCAGATCAGTGCAAATTGGTTTTTGACTGAGTTCCTAGTTCTACTGCTGGTTTAATTGATATTTAATCCTTTCACAACAGTGGATCCTGGTGTCCATTGTTAAAAATATACTGTGCCTGAAAAATCCAACTCCCAGAGCTAAGGAGTTAAAGAGTAGATATTTACTTGAATGCTGAAAGGGTAAAAACTGGCTCTGAGAAAGTGTGGTAACAAGGTGAAAAACTGAAAGCCTTATCTACCACTGCTAATGTGCATCTCTTAATGATAGCACTCCTTTATCACACTTACTCATTTCCATGTTTTCTGGATAATGTGGTGTATGATATCAGTGTTTCTAATGGTGCTTTTTCACACCTGTGTGTTTATCATCTCTTCTTAATTTATACCCTGTTAGTGTGCTGTTTCTTTTCATATCATAAATGTATTCCTTGTTCTGTTCTGAACAGCTGAATGCCCTCTTTGTTTCAGACCGGAGATGGTTGTTGGTTGGTATCACAGTCACCCTGGCTTTGGTTGTTGGCTTTCTGGTGTGGATATCAACACGCAGCAGAGCTTTGAAGCCTTGTCGGAGAGAGCTGTGGCAGTGGTTGTGGATCCCATTCAGAGTGTAAAAGGAAAGGTAGAGTAGATTCTGTCTTTATTAGCATCTACTGCCACATTCTGTTTGCAGTCACATTAAATAGGAATCTGTATTTTTAAAGCAGAATTCTTAATTACACAAAACCCCCGACTGGTTACTTAAAAAAGGGAAAAAAAGGACTATTCAAGTTTATATGTCTTGGTATTATTTAGAGATTTGTTTCTACTTTAATCAGCTATTGTCTAATCATGAATGTTTATCTTTAAATTTTTTTATTTCATAGGTTTAGGAATGTTAAACCATGCTAAAAGCCTGCTATACACACTTCATGAATATTTTAATAAACAGTACTCTTCCTTTCTTTATTTAAAAATGGAGAATTTGGGATTGGCACATTTAAAAAATCTAGTTAAAGAGCTCTGTTTTACAGATATTGTGCAGGACATATTCTGGAGTTGTATGTTCCAAATATTTTAGACAATGAAAACTTGCCCCAAAGACTTGGTAACAATCATTCCCATTTTTGGAGTGAGGACCCAGATGAATAATTAAATATGCTAAATGATTCTGAAAAGAGATTAACTTGCAAAGCATATTGGGTTATAGTTGTTCTTTGTCAAAATCTTTTGTTCTTGTTTAGTTCTTTTTTTTTCTTTTTTTGTTCGTTTGTTCTTTCTTTCTTTTTTTTTTCTTTCTTTCTAGCCCCATATGCCATTTTCCTATTTCCTGCCTCATGACAGCAGGGAGTAGCTCTATTATCACCTTCACAGAGCTGTCTGCAAATGTGAGAGGCAATTCGATTTTGCTCAACCACAGGGAGAGTGGATTAGAAAAACTACAGAACATACAGAAATTGGCTAGGTGGTTACTGCTTTAAAATACTGCTGAGGTGTCTTGTTTGAGCATGTACTTCCATTGTAGTGTAGAATAATTGTTATAATAAAATCATAATACATTTATGGGATCCTTTTTATGCAGCTTTTACAAATTATTTTTAGAGCACTTAAGAGTAAATATTAGCTTGCTATCTATTAGACCTGGAGTTTGATGGTACTGTAGATTACATTAACATCTGTTCACCAGCCCAAACAAACTAAATCTGGCTGTTAAAATGTGGAGTTTTTATCATGAATTTGAAGTTAAACACTTGCTGACATTATATTATTATGATGAATAAAATTGAGGTCTTCTCTAAATCATGATCCTATTAGATGTGATTTAGCTTTTCAGAAGCAAAAACTATCCATAAAACCAATAATAATAGCTGATATACTAGGCAATTCAGTATAGGTAACTTCAGATGCTTGCTATGTACCAGTATTTCAATTTATTTACTTTTTTTTTTTTTTTTACTAAGTATGTTGTTACTTAAATAATATATCTATATCTAAAAGGAATTAAAAATCCCTGATTTTTGTTTTTAGTTTTTGGAATTAAAGTACAGTATAATACTATTAAGTTTAATTTTCTGATAACATACCTTTTTGGCAACTCATTTAAGTAATGATTCTTATTTTAGAAATGTAACAACAGAATTATCAGATTAAGTTTCTCTACCACAATATTTACAAATAATAATTGAAGCTTTAATTTTAAATATAATTAGAGTTTTATTTTGTATTATTGTGACAGATTTTTTTATGATGCTGGTTTATGTGACGGTGGCCACTTTGAAAAGGAAAATATAAGCTTAAATACAATAAAAGAAAGCATTCTCAAAATAGATTGTAAATAAGTGAATATGTATTTTATTTTTGGTTATCTTGCATATAGTTTTTTTAAATGTTAGTTTTAGGTTCTAAACCAGTTTTAAGTATCATACAGTGTTGGAATTTGCATTGCTTGTTTATAATTAATCATAATTCATATTAGAAGAATGTGTTGCATTTAAAAATACTTGTATCACATGACTGCTGTCATGTGGTAAAATGTAGAGTTAAAAATATCTAAAATTATGAAATAACAAGTAGTACTGTCTAATTTTGTCATAAAATATTTTTGAAAAATTTTTGTATTAGTATAAGTATGTATCATTGATGATTCACATCACTTGTTATACCTAACATAGATTTTCACAATTTTATTACCTGAAATAAAGGTTTAGTTCTTTGTTAAGAACTAAAGTAACTTCATCTATAACAGTGGTTCTCAACCTGTGGGCCGCGACCCCTTTCACAGGGGTTGCCTAAATACATCCTGCATATCACATATTTACATTACAATTCATAACAGTAGCGAAATTACAGTTATGATGTAGCAACGAAAATAATTTTATGGTTGGGGGTCACCACAACATGAGGAACTGTATTAAAGGGTCGCGGCATTAGGAAGGTTGAGAACCACTGATCTATAAGGTTCTGAATATGATTATAATATATGATTCTCAGTGTCAAGACCTCGAAACTATGAACCAACTTAAATGCTAGTACATCCATGGCCAGTGTTCCTAGTTGAAGCATTAAACTTAAGAATATAAACTTGTAAAAACTGAGTAACATAAGACTCTGCCTTCCTCTCCCTTGCACTTGCTTTCTCAAAGCTGTCAAAATATTTAATAAGGCAATGAGTAGATCAAGAGTTAAAAATGGCAGTCTATATGTAAATGATTTAAATTCGGTTTCTGTTCACTAAATACCTCTTTCCTATGTATTTTTATTTTTATAAATCCCAATATTATCTCTGTTTTTGAGTGATAAGCATGGATTCTTTCTTTGTAATCACAATTAATTCATAATTATTACTACTTTTGAGAACTCATTTTCTTATCAGGATTCCTGTCAGTAAAATGTTCATATGTTACCTGCTAACTCCTGTTTGTGTCTGTTCTCTATCTTAAAAACATTAAAAAGGACACAAAACACTAATAACCTTTTAGTCTAAATACATCTCTATTTCCTTGAAAATATTTTATTTAATATAATCAGAAATACTCAATGGACTTTTAAAAAGAAATGTTTCTATTGATTTTCAGAGAGAGAGAGAGAGGGAGGGAGGGAGGGGAGAGGAGGGGAGGGGAGGGGAGGGGAGGGGAGGGGAGGGGAAGGGAGGGGGAGGGGGAGAAAGAAGAGAGAAGAGAGATTGGCTGCCTCCTGCATGCTCCCTACCAGGGATAGAGCCCACAAACTCAGACATGTGCCCTGACCAGGAATTGAACCAGCAACCTTTTGGTACACAGGACAATGGTCAACCAACTGAGCCACACCAGCCATGTCTCAATAGACTTTTAAAAATGTAATATTTATCTAGTTGTAGATCAGCTCATCTGTAGGTATTTCTTAAGTAAATCCGATATACCTGTATGCTAATGATTCTGGGGTACCACATAAAGAAAAAATGGTCTTTGTCTCTAGGAAATTAGTCATATACATTTGGTATTATTTGTGAGCCAGATAATATGCCATTTATATGCTGATAATCCTACATTGCGTACTGATAGAATACATATTATACTGATACTGCTTTGTTTCTGTAAATTAAGTATTAAATTGGTTACTAGGGACAGATATAATTCAATAAATACTTATTTGGAACCCTGCATGTACCAATATATAAAAAATATATTTGTATAGCAAGCATAGTAAATACAGATTAAATTAAAAGAAGGAAGAAATGGGTAAAAGATGCACAAAGTACATGAAATTTGGACTGAGCTTTGAGGGATGGACAGGACATCACTCAGAAAAGAAGAGTTTGTACCTGTGGGGAAGAATGTAGGAACAATACCATTCTAGATGGTACTTACCTTTGTTAATTCTGCTTTCACAGATGCATTAGAATATAAAGTAAATAGTCTATAGTTTTTGTTGTTCTTTTCTAAATTAATGTTTTACAAAAAAAAAATGGGGCTCTGAAAAGTAAATACAAATATAGGAGAAAAGAATTAGGGGATGAATGTTATAAGACCTTAACTTTTATCTGCAGATATTTAGAAGGTTATGCCTTTTTCAGGACAAGGGGGCAAATATTTACCAAGACATTTTGTATTGGAAAGTTTTAAGATGGTGGAGATTTTAAACTACTCAACTAATAGTTTTGTTTTAGCTTGTTATTATTTTAAAAAAATGTCATAGAGGCAGGGAGGACATAGAGTAATGAAGAGCACAGGCTCTGGGATGAGACCTACATTAGAATTCCATTTTTATATCTTCTTTACAGCATGACCTTGAGCAAGTTACCTAATTTTCTTGAGCTTCAGATTTTTTCATCTATAAAATAGGGATTTTAGTGACTATCATGATATTGTGAATATTATGAAATGACATATGCATGATTAGTGTACACATGCCATACATAATCAGAGGTGTGCAATAAATGGTCCTTTATTATTCTGAAGATTAAAGTAATTGTTACTCAAAAGAATTAACTACAAGCATATTTAAAAATGTGAATATCTCTGAAAGTTTTGTTAAGAATAAGTCTATAAATTAATTACTAACTTGCTCACTTTAGGAAGATGAAGGTAATGAAAACTTTCCATTCCATAAAAGAAATGAGAACTTTCCCTTGTATTTTCTATAGCCTGATGAATTTAGGAATGCTCTTCTGATTCAGCTACTTTTTATTGAGCAATTACTATTTTCCAGCATATTTCTCTGGGGCATGCTGATGAAGAGGAAAATGAATACATTACATTAAAATTCTGGCCTTTGAAGTAATTAAATGTATTATACTTAAAACCATTTTGTGTTTTGGAGCCTCTTTTGGGATAAAAACGTTTTCATGTCTTGGAATTTATATATTGTCTGGCAAAAGTAGTTTGTTTTTTTTAAGTAGTTTTTTAAATAAATTTTTATAAAATAAAATCAAGGAATGGATGTGTCAGTGGTCACTGTTATCAGTTTGGCTTTCAGCATATAAAAAACTGCAGTTTTATGAGTTTTAGTAAGTAATTTTTATATGTTAGAGGAGTCATAGAGTCATTTATTAAATGTGTGAATTGACAAGCTCAGTGAGGCAACTTGTTCACAAACCTTAGCCTTGATGAATTTGTGTGTAATCAGAGCTAGAGTTCAAGTTTACCATGTCATTTGTTTTTTAAA